CCCCGCCTCGCTAACACGGCGGCGGTTTTGCTCATGACCTGTCCTTTTTTCCCTCCTCCTTCCCCTCTCTTTTCGTTGTTGTGATTTGGTTTGGGGTTTTTTGTTTTGTTTTGTTTTTGTTTTTTAAATTTTTTCTCATTTAATTATTTATTTATCTCGTCGCCGCCTTTTGAAGCCCTCCGCGGAACTTCGGCGGTGGTAAAGGCGAAGAGGAGATAGCGGGCCCGGGGAGATGCTTTAGCTGTTCCTTCTCCTCCTCCTCCTGCTGCTTCTCTGGGGTTTCTCACCAGCTGCCCGCCGTGCGGGGACCCGCCCCGGGTCCGAGGGGCTATAGGACGAGCGAGAGCCGGCCCCGGCGGAGGCCGGTGTTTGTAGGTAAAGAGCGGCCTTGGGAACTTTGTGGGGAGACCTCAGGGTTGCTGGGAGGGGGTGTGGGGTGTGGGTGGAGAACAGAGGAAAAGACAATGTCCTGTCATATAAGGTGCTGGTTTGCAGCTGTCATGCCTCTTCCGTGCAACACGTTTTGAGTTGTCCTTAACCTGCTTTGAGAAACTAATTCGGGTGCTTGGCAGAAAATACGTGCTTGGAGGTTACCTTTACTGGTTCGGCTCGGGCAGGCAAGTTGTGCTTTTACCAGTCGGTCAGAGGAGAGTCCTGTATCCTTGGAGTGAGGAGTTGGGTCAGTGACCCCCCCCCCCGCCCCGTATTTGTTTTTGTGATTTGATGAGAAAAACATGTTCTTAATTGCCCCCCTGGGGCTGTCCATTTGCTGTCTGAAAAGTGAGTGAAGAAGATAGCATTCAAAAAGCAATGGAAAGGAGCACTAAAAGGTATTGCCTTGTATTCATATTAAGATTAGCCCAGCCTCGCTGACACGAGTAGCTGTTCTTAAGATCTCTTGATAAAAGGAGTATGAGTACAGGCTTCGTCAGACAGGATTATCTGGAATAATGATGTTTGGCACTTTGGTGGCATTGGATGGCTTAGTAGTGCTGCACAGTCACGTAAGTTTTGCTGGGAAGGAAAGTTGTACTCCAACTCCGTGTGTATTATAAAACATGCACAGACTTACTGGCATCTAATACTGATTGTGGGGTTGAAAATTAAAGTCGTCTTTGCAGGTAGCAAAACTGATAAGCTATAAAAAGTGTTTCCTTTATAAATTCTGAGTCACTGACTTAATGTTGAGGCTACCTGGTCTCATGCTGAAACTGGTGGCAGTTGTGGTTCATGTGATGTGGTCACAAGTCTGCTCCAGGCTAAACCACTCTCATAACCTTGTTACTTGGCAAGAGCTAAGCAGACATGGGGTCTTAGTTACTTTTAGTGGCAACTTTGGGGGTTTTAAGTAGCGCAATGTCGCCCTTCAGAAGGATGAGAGCGTGTGCAGACCTTATCAGAGGATTGTAGAACTGTGTAGCCAGCATGCTCCCTTTCTTTTCCCATGTTTGGAAGGAATACTTGCCATAGTCCAAAAAAGAGTTCTTATCAGTCTGCTGATGCCTTATATTGACTGTCATCCTCTGCAGTCAGGTGGCATAGGGAGTTTTGGCTACCTATGACAAACTCCTATGTCCTGAAAACCTTGTGGTTTTCTCACTTGCTCTTCGGTGGTTCTTTAATGTCTTCATTTTCTATCCATCTCCCTCAGTACTGTAGTTTTCTTAAAGGGCATTATGAATTGTAAACCATGGAGAAGGGGTTGTGATTTTGTATCATTATGCTTTTAATATTTTATGCATTGAGTGTTATAAAAATAGTAGAGAAGATAATGTCCTACAGGAGAGTGGGATACGTGGCCTAGGTTATTTATCTCGTTCTAGAAAATAGATTACAGTGCGCACTGTTGACCCAAGGTGCTCAAGAAAGACAATGTAAAATTTCCTAGTGTTTTTTCAGAAGAAACTCTTTGAAATTGCAAATAGTCCCATTTTTCTCTTTGCTTTAGCTTACCTACTGAGATTTGAATTCTGACTTCTGTTTCTCTTGCACATGGCGTGTTTGTTGCAAGGGGAAAAAAGAACACCATACTTGTCTCAGAAAATAAATGAAGTTCAATTCATATTTAATACGTTAGAACATTTTCTTACAGCATTTTGGAATTTTAACATTTTAAAATTAATCTGTTTTTGCAAAATCTCTCTGAATCTTTAATTGGTTTTAGTGGAGTGGACAGAGTCATCAATCAAACCATTGTTTATTTTTATAGCCATGTAGGCTTTTTTTTTTTTAACAGGCCTTATAAAGTATGTAAAAGTAAAATCTCTACCTTTGAGGTGTACATGGTACTTAAAAGACCAAATGCAAAGACATTTCGCAGGATGTGTGTGTGTGCGCACCTTGGAAACCATAACTACTCTAACAGTTTGTCCACATAAAGACCTGAATGTCTGTGAGAATGCTCTTTATGATTAAAAGTATTTTGCTTTATAACAGATAATTAAAATAGCATAAGGCTTTCACTGTAGTGGTCTTAGCTGGGTGCTTTTGAATTTTTCTTGTACAAAGAAGAAAGAGCAGAATGATACTGAGATATGTTGGTCATATACCCTAGTTAGCTAGATGTCAGTGTAGTCCTGCTGTAAAAATAGGTGTTGTATTAAAAGCCTCAGTCATTTAAAAAAGAATTTTAGCCCAAGCGAAATGGTAGTGTTTTTTTCTGAAGAAGCATAAAGAACTATAAAACTCCATTATATTACATGCTATCAATATAAAGTTACAATAGTAAGCTTTGGGAAATTTTGTTGACTTTTTCTTTTCCTTTTTTTTAAAGAAAGAATATCAGCAGCTTTTTACTAATGGAGAGCCACTTGTTATCACCAACGTGCACATGAAATGGAAAGGAAACAGATTCCAGAAAACAAGTTCTGTTTCAGCCTTGCAAGATGCTGCATGAAGTGGTGAGTACATAACGTGGACTGGGAGATCTCTTGGCATTGTTTTTGAGCAGCTAGAAAAGAAAAAACATTTGAGGTAGAATTTCTGTAAAGAGTGATTAATGTATAGTCAACTGACAAGGAAAGAAATCTGAGCCAGGGATGCCAACAAATAGTTGATAAATGGAAAGTAGTAGAACAATCAGAACAGAGTAAGTAAAATTTTCTCATGTTATGGTATCTATTGCTGCGTTAGACTTCTCTGTACAAGTTGTATAAAGGTCTTATTCAGCAGAATTCTGAATTCTTAATGTTTTAGAAGCAGAGCACACGGTATCTCTGAATATTGAACAAGTTTTTAGGAAGTAGAATGTTGAATATTCACTGAATGAAAAAGTACTTAACCTGTAAGGTTAGACTCTAAATCATTACTGTCCTCAAAATAAAACTAAAATCTCTCAATCTTAGAGTGTGATATTTGGCATGTTTTACTGACATCAAGTTGATATGAGGAGATTGTTGTATGACCAGATTGCATGTGGCATTGAGATGCTGCCAAATCTGATTCCACTTCCTCATACCAGTTGTCATAGTTTCTGCTTATGAAACAATATTTATTTATAAGTGCATTGCATGTGTCTTTAAAGTATCTAGGAAGTATAGTTTCTGTTTCCACTGAAGGGCTTCTCGTGCACAGCTTAATACATGCTATAAAATAGAATCCATTGGGATTCTAATCCTGATTGAGGCTGGAGTTGTTACATGACTGGTTTGCGTGGTTGTTTGCTGTGTTTTAAAGTGCTGTGTAAGCATAAACTGTAGAATTTTTTTTTTTACTTTGGAGTTTGAAAGATGAGGACTACTGAACAGCACAGTTTGTTCTGTGGTACTATATTAATCTAAATGTATTGTTTTAAATTCAAGTTGTCTCATAGCTGTGGAAATGCCAATAGTATGAGATAGGTAATTTGGTAAATGCTTGCAAATTATCCATTTCTAGAAATGTTGATATACTATAATTTTTTTTAATAAGTATAAACTAAGAAATTATTCACTTAATCTTTCTAAATAGTAAAAGAAATTTGTTCAGAGATGTGTCTGCCTTGAGGAACTCAGAGTAGTTAGCAGCTACTGAAGTTGTAAAATTCTTTGGCATTTGTTTCCAGGCAGCTGAAATGCATGTGAAAACAAATTAGTTCAATATTTTTGTATTTCATATTTTCATATCTCATTAGTCTGTTTTCAGTTTGTTGATAAGTATGTAAAAGGAAACCAGAGCTGCTGTTTGGTGTGCAAATTAACTGCTGGTTGAGTAACCTCTTACTCATAGATGAGTGTGTAATATCCTGGAGCCGAGAGCATTTATTGTTGTGAATAGTTTAGAGTTTGTATTTTGCATGGAAGAATGATACCACAATCTGCCCGAGTGTTATTTAGGTTTAACAAAGGGATGGGTCATTTGACACTATTTTACAGCCTATGATGAAGGGTTGGAGGCAGGGCTTAGTGTCTCCTTGTATGTATCCATGCATCCAGCACAGTGATGCTGAGTAAATTCTATTATTTGTGTGTAGGCTTGTATTGCCATTAATTTTTGTTACACAACTATGAGTGCTATGTGCCTGTTTTGTTTTGGTTTTAAGTACTTATTTACTGGAAATGATTAATACAACGATTCACAGAAGAAAACACAGAATTTAAACCAAAATGTGAATGTTCAGATGGTAAGAACCTGTCTATTTGTAAAACCTACTTGAAAACGAAGACTTCAGTTACTGTTGACATTTCCGAGCGTCCTGTTAGTGTTACTGCTTCAGCAGGAATGTTATAAAGTACATGGCACTGGAGTCATGGTGCAGGCTCAGATTAAACAAAACAAAGCCTTCAAGCATCTTTATCCAACTTGGATGGAAAATGTTCCCCGGAGTCATAAGGCTGAAAAGTAGAATATGGAACAATTTGGATTTGAGGGGGAGGAAGAGGGAGGTGGTGGGTGTTGTGTCAAGAGGCTCCTGGATTTATTAGCAGGCAGTGCTTCATGGCATTCTTTATAATAGGGCTGAAGAATGCTCCATTACAATGGTTGATGAATTCACCCACTCTGATGTTAAAATAAAATTAATTTCAGCTCCCAGGTTGTAGTGAATATAGTTGGCTCGTAGACAATTTTCAGGGGAAGATTGCAAGAACTATGCATTACTAGCATAAAAACTGTGTCTGTTGGAGGCTAGAACTAGATTCTGGAGGAGGGTTAGGAGTCCTAATAGTAATTTTTAAAACTAGCCAATGCAGGTACACATGGAATATTGCACACTGAAGTTTACTCAGCGAAGCTGAAAATGGTTAAGTGTGGTTTTTCAAATCTTTTTTTTCTTAGTCTGTAGGCAAACATTCTGTTTGGAGTGATTTTTTTTTTTTTTTCAGTGGGTTTTTTTTTTTGTCAGTGTAAGATGCTGGATGGATGCAGTTTCACTGTGAGAGAGCTGTGTAGAGAGGAGAATGTTCTATCTGTGGTCATTTATGACCATTTGGTTGTTGGAAATTTTGCTCTGTGAGCATAAGTTAGGCTTATGTTGTTACACTTGTATATACGTGGAATTTAAAAATGATGTAATGTGTTTATTCAGATTCCACAGGGCTCCCCACAGAGAAGGGCACGTAAGAAATTTCAACTGTTTTCTTAACTCTGAATTGAATTTTTATATATATATTTATATAAATTTTATTTATTCTTGTCCACCTCAGGACAAAAGACTGTTGTGTGCAGTTAAGTAGGCCAGTCTGATTAGGAGCAAATCAGGTAGCAGCTTTAGTATATGTGTAGCAGGCAAAGCAGCACAGGATATGGCTTTTGAAAAAACCAGCAGCTGTACGTTTTGTGTACTGTGTTTCCATAGAGATGTAACTGTACATAAATAGGCTAATATTTTCAAACAGCTGTCAAATGTTCAACTTAAATGTATGTTTTGGGCACCTGATTTTCAGCATACTGAGCTGCTGTAATTCTAACCAAATTTACAAGGAGTTGCATTTTCTCAAGATTATAAATTCCGTGGAAGTGTAATAGTGATTATCCTTTAAGAATATAGAATTTTTCAGTTTGCAGCTATCATTTTTTTTATTCCTCTTCTATGTGGGGGGTGTGTGTGTGTATATGGATGAACACATAAATATGAAAAAAAAAAAAAAGAATTGGACGTCTCCTCTCTCTGTTGTTCCTGACAGCTCTGCAAATATGAGGCTTACAGTGGTTTACACAGCATGGCCTGATCTAGCAACTGTTGTTAAAGATCAGTCAGGCTCCCCCTTCGTGCTTTTTTCTTTTGCTACCACCCATGTGTCTCTGTCCTTCCTTTTTGCTGCCCCATAGTGAGTCTGTTCAGCTATCTCTAGCTCTGTTTTTCCTGTGTTATATTTCTCCCAGCTTCATGAGCTGAATCGTTTGTCTATACTAGGGAATAAAACACACCCAGGGACTGCTTTCTGGACCTAGAACAAAGTGGCAAGCTTGCACACATCTAACAATCTTCCTCCTGAAACAGCGTGGTTGCATCCAGCCTGCCGGCGGAGAGCACTCTGCTCTGTATTTGCTGTCCCCTTAACCCTGCCTGTGCGTTTGTCTGGGAGAGTGCCATGCTGGTACGGGCCAAAATGGTGTCAAGAGAGGAGGCTAACAGCATGGCTCCAGCCTGTGCTCTGGCCCTGGTTCATTTACTATCACAGATGTGGCCAGAGAGGTCAGACAAGGGCGAGAGCACAGGGAGGATGGAGCTGTGTGGCTGGAAATGAAGAAGAGAGAGAGAAGGTGCAGGGCTGACAATGTCAGGGAGCTACGGAAGGGATACCCCTTGATGTCAGGGAGCTATTCCATTACTTAAGCTGGCTTGTCTAACTGTACTGTTAACGTAACTTTATTTTGCAACCAGCAGCTTCAGTTTGGCTCCGCAGGGGGCTGCGAGGGCTGTGTCCTGGTAACTGTTTTTTCAAAGGCTGATTCAGTCGACTTGAAATGCCTTACAAAGTAAATAAAACTAGTAGATGAAAGTACCTATATGATTTTTTTTTTTAAACAGGTTTTCTTATCCTGGCTGTTTCATTGAACTGTTTGTTTTTCTTCTTTCTGTCACTGAAGGTGCTTCTTTAGCTAAAAGAAGCGGGGAAGAGGAGCAGGGTGGCAGGCAGGCAGCAGTGGTGATACTGCTGTTGATACAGGGCTGTTAAACTGTTAAGTAGTCACCCTTCATGTCATAAGAAGGATGAGCAGAGAGCTTAGATGCCAGGAAAATAATTGGTTATATTTTGACATTTTTGGATCGTGCAGGACTGTGAGGCTTGTGATCTCTATAGTGCAGCAAGTGACCTGATTTAGAACTGTGAAGTCATGTGTCCCAAGTATATCCTCTATCTGACGTGTCAGTAGCTTGGAAGTACAAGTACTTGATGTCCATTTGCCAAAAAATGTAGATTCATGGCATTCATACCTGTTGCCAAGACTCCTGTCAGCAACACTAATTCAGTGTAAACTTTGGTTTTGTGTGAAACATTGATCACAAAGAAAAGCTTTTTAAGGTAGGAATTCCTAAATTGCCAGGGCAAAACTGCAAGCCTTTTTCTTAACAAAAAGCCCAACAGCAGGAAAAAGGGCAAGAATTTTGTTTCACGTTCCACTCTGGGCACACTGAGTTGTGGCATGTCATTAAATCAAAGTTAGTTTATTTTTAGAAGTTTTTATTTACTTATTTATTTAAATGTAATAGCTGAGCGTCCTGGTTTCAGCTGGGATAGAGCTAATTGTTGGGGGTTTTTTTCCCCCCTTCTTAGTAGCTACAGTAGTGCTGTGTTTTGGATTCAGCATGGGATTTGATACGAGAAGAATGTTGATAACGTACTGATGTTTGCAGTTGTTGCTAAGAAGTCAAGGACTTCTCAGCTTCTCGTGCGCTGCTAGTGCGCAGGTACGCAAGAAGCTGGGGGGGAGCGGAGCCAAAACAACAGACCCAATTTGGCCAGTGGAATATTCCATA